TTTTTCTCTTAATTCGTAAAAATATTTTTATCAATTAGAAAAGAATTTTAATTTAGATTTATGTCCATGGTGATTACAAAGAAATCTTTGAAAAAAAAGAGAATGTTTTATATCTATCAAATCATCAAAGTTCTGGTAAAATTTTCATTATTTTATTTCTATAAACAACCAAATGAAATCTAATTTAGTTGATTGGGTAATAACGAATATGTTAGCAATTCAACAAGGTAGTCTTGGACATATCCGACATGTTCTTAAAAATGATTTAAAATGGATTCCATTTTATGGATTTTATTTGCAACAAGTAAAAAAACATTACAAATAAAATCTTATTATTTTTGTTTGTTGTATTAAGCATGGTTGTATTTATGTTCGTCGAAATGATAAAAGTGATTTAAATCGAGTTGAAAAAGGAATGCGTCAAGTTTTAAATAATGGTTTACCCGTATGGCTTGTTATATTTCCTGAAGGTACTCGATATAATCCAATTAATAATAAAGATGCTATTGAACGATCACGTACATTTGCACAACAAAAAGGTTACAAATTTTAATAGTTGAATTTTATTTAAAATATATTTTTTTATTTTGTTAGATTTATCCCCATTAGATTATGTTCTTTATCCTCGATCAGGTGCAACAGTATCTGCTATAAAAGCATTAAAAGATAAATTAGATGCTGTTTATGATGTTACTATTATGTATAATCAAACATATGATAATGATCGACAAATTCGTTTAGCTGCACCATCAATGTCTGGTAAAGAATTAATTCTACAATAATTTAGAAATTATTATTTTTTTCTTGAAAATTTTTTAGAATATTTATCAGGTCAAACAAATGAATTACATATTGATATAAGAAGATTTCGAATAAATGAAATTCCAAATGAAACCAATGAAGAAATATCAAATTGGCTTTATCAAAGATATTATTTAAAAGACAAGTAAAATAAATAATTAAAAATTCAATTAAATAAAAAAGATTTCTTTTAGATTATTAAAAGAATTTTATGAATTTCAAAGAACGAAACAAACTGATTCAATAATATTTAAGTCTGATAAAGATGATATTCCATTTCAAATCGAATTACCATTAAGAGAAACGATATTTTCTTGTATTTTTTTTACTTTAACAACCCTTCCATTGTTAATAAGTGAACGTGGACGTTCAATTTATTGGAAATTTTGTTTATTTGGTACACCAATAACTTTATTATGGATGCATTTATTTCCTCCATTAAAAAATGAAAATTAATCTTTGATTTAAGATTTAATTTTCTGTCAGACAATAAAATAATTCAAAAATCTTGTATGACTGATAAATGTTTTTTTTATTTTTTATATATTTTTTCATTTTTGTTATTTCTAACTGAAAAATAAATGAACAACGAATACAAGTAGAGAAATTTTTGTCTTTTATTGTAGAAGATTTTAATTAGTAAATAGTATTTCTTTTGATGTGTTTTTTTTTATAGAAATAAAAAACTTTTGTTATATAAATTGAATTTCGTTTTATTTCTATAGATTATTGACAATTTTTTTATTATTTATAGAATATTGACGTTCTAATGATTTTATTCAGTTGTAGATTTGACTAAAATATATTTTCTACATGAAAATCAAATATAATAATTTAGATTAAGGTGAGAAAGGAATTCAATCTTTGCATAGATGATCGAACATTTTTTCGTCAGAATGTTTATTTACGTTTGACAAGGTAAAAGCTATAGGTTAGAACTACAATTTTGTCCTCCGTTTTTAATTTAAGGGCCCCCCATACCTCAAAAAAAGCAATTTTCGACAAAAATATCGATTTCGAGATTTATACATAGTTAGATAGCCCATAATCTCTACTTTCGAATACACTATGACTTGTTAGTTTTGAGATAGTTATTGAGGGTTTTTTTGAGACGCTTGTCGCAGAAAAATGGCTAAAGTGAAAATTTGTTATGTATTTTTCTCGCAACTGTTTTTTTCTGTTTTATCTAACTGTGTGTCAAAGATTTCTCCGCCATTTTAAATGTTACAAAACTCGGGAAGGTTTTAAAATGAAGGTAAATCTCAGCGCTACACTCTAACAAAGCCGGAATTTTTGATTTCAATCTAATTGTTTCCAAAAACCTCAAGTTTTCAAAAACATTTAACCTAATTTTTTTTAAATTTTTTTGAAAAGTATTTTTTAATATAAAAACTTTTTTTTCAAAAAAGCGGCTTTGTTACGTTGTAGTGGCAGGTCTTCTCTGCGTTTTGACATCATCCCGACGTCTGTATCATTCAAATTGAAAAAAAAAATCCTTTACACACGGACACCTACTTTTTGACCCTTAATGTTACGATAACTCGAGAAAAACTTGATATTTTGAGCTCAAATTTTTACTGAGAAATATCAAAGGTCAGATACATATTCAGTAAGATTGAGTGTTTTAGGAAAAAAATAGATTTTTGAGGTATAGGGGGGCCCTTAAGAATAGTCAAATAATCCTTGATAAGTTCAAAAAATTAGTTTCGACTATTATAATTCGAGCCTACAAGTTGAGATCATTATTTATAAATCAGCTTGTAGATTCGAATCTGTTCTACAAAATGACTGACTCTAACAGTTTTTAGCATGTTCGAAAAATAACTTCGAGATGAATAACACTGTATTGATTCACCATTAGAACAAAAATTGTTAATTTGTTGAGCCTTTCAAAAACTTCTTCACGATTCTTGAACAAAAATAGATACAAGATTTCTAAAGAGCGTATTTAGCATTTCCATGAGAGGGTGGCCGTTTATAAAAAAAAGTAGAAAGTAGTAGTATTTTTTACGAGAGAAACCTATACTGTTCTATCTATTTTCGAGAGGGTGACGGTCGCCGGTTCGTCGAATAGCTAGATTCACTACTGATACAAAATTCTGGTTGTCAAACGTAAATAAACATTCTGTCTAAAATATTTTCGACTATCCGTTTATTCTATTAAAATCAATTTCAGATGTTCAATATTTGTTTATTTTAAGTTTTCTGATTTAATATTAAATTGAAGTAAAATTTTTAGATGATGGGTTCACCAAATAATGGTGGTAGTGGGAGTGAAGAAGATGATAAATGTGTTCCACGAGCTGCTGTATATAAAATGATAAGAGATTGTACACCACAAATTCGTGTTTCAGGCGAAGCAAAAGAATTTTTTGTTCAATGTTGTAATGAATTTATTCATACATTAGCTTTACAAGCCAATGCTGTTTGTGAACAACAAGCAAAAAAACTTATTCATCCCGATCATATTGTTACTGGTAAAAATTAGAAAATAATATTTCAATTTTGTCTTTTTTTTTCAATTCTAATTTAGCTTTGGATAATTTGGGTTATAATTCATATAAAAAAAATTGTTTAAATGCAATGGAAACTGCACAAGAAGAAATGGCTCAGAAACGTAAAAAACTTCAGGGAAAACCACCATCTATTTATACTCAAGAAGAATTACGAAGACAACAAGAAATTCTATTTGAACAAGTAGAATTTATTTATCTTTTCTTTTCTATTATAAATAATAATCAATTATTTTAGGCTCGTGAAGAATTACAACAATTAGAAGAAGATGATTGGGCAAGAACACAAGAATTATCTAAAGAAGTTTTACGAAAAAAAATGGAAGCAACCCGAACTGATGATGATAATTATGATGATTAAACTATTTTCATATTAGTTACAATAACTTGTTGTTTTTCTCTGTGAAGTATATCGAAAAACAATCATACTTAACTCATTGTATATCACTTGTTTTTTTTCCTTTATTATATCTATTCATGAAATTCTTCATCAAAATTGATGTTTCATTAAACTTGATTAAAAAAACAGCTTTCAATAATGATAAAATTAGATACGAACAAAATAGGATGATATTATATCTTCTGGGAAAAATTTTCTCCATCGAAGTAAATCCAGTACGCGAAATTGCATATATCAACCAACAAGGTCATTAGGGAGAATGTTGTTTTTCATGCAGAATAACTTTATGTTAATAAAACAACCTATAAATTAACCTCCTGGAACAATGCTTCATCTATACTTGCTAACCCTTGGATCCAAGGGCGGCGGAGCCTCATTAACCTAAGTGAGGCTCACAATATTGTTTTCTACTTTGAACTTTTATTACTACATGAAGTAAAATTTAAGTCTTCTTTTTATTATACCTCAGTAAAAAATACGACGGTCAACGTGAAAATAAAAATATATAAAAAATAGGTGAACCGCATTATAAGATAGATATGTCAGAACATATATCTAATTATGTTAGCTGCCGAACATAACAAATTCTAATAATAAAAGATAATATCTAATTCAAAAATAACTGAGGCTGAGCCTCAAGAGCTGAAAACTAAGTGAGGCTTAAGCCTCTTGAGCCTCCACGCTCCGCCGCCACTGCTTGGATCACAAAACTTCTATGTACCCAATCAGGTTCACTCTGATCACTTTTGTTACATTGAATAGATTACAATCTAAAACTTTATAATCAATAATAACAAAAAAAATATCTGTAACCAACACATTAAAGGTTTTATTGAAATATTAGTGAAAATCAATAACAAATGTTTCATTTGATTAGGGTAATTTTTTAATTACAAATAGAATTTAACTAAATTAATCCTTTTGCGGGTGAATTTCAGATGAGCAAGTGTCTTGTGGTAGTGAGAACTAGTGACAAACTTCTTCAAAATCTCCTGTGGAAGAAATAGATAAACACCGTTACTTAGCCTCGAATAGTCATAAATTAATTTTATCAGTCCAGTGTTATCTTTATTGCTTCCAGAGTCATTGGTCCTGGTTTATTAGAGTGTTGCAATCGAAAACAAAGAAGTGGTACATATTTATCCCATCGCTCATGAAAGGGTTACTCAACAATATTTTGTTTCATAAAAAATAGATATTTATAATTTAAATCCTTTTAATTATTGTTCAAACTGTCGTGAATAGACAATACAAAAATAAACATATTTTTCTAAATGTAGTAAAAGTGTATTTATTTCCAGTTAAAAGAGATTGAATGAATATCTATGTTAATTATGTATTTAAAACAAGAAAAAAAGATTTTTTATTTAATATTCTCTTAAACTATCATCATATACAAAAACATCTATTTCATTTCAGACAATTGTTATAATTTAATTATTGTTTTGTTTTTATCATGAGACTGAAGTGATGTCTTATAATAAATTTGTTTACGTCTATACAAAGATTTTGTCTAAAAACAATGACAAATAATTGATCTACTTGTAATGTCATGTTGACATATTGATTGAAAATTATTTTATAACTAAAATAAAATTGACATAATAGAAAGTGAATGTCCTTGAATAAGATAATTATTCTTTTGGTCAAATGAAAAGAACCGACTTCTGTTATTCTTGATGAAAAAAAAGAAATGAATATGTAATAGACAAGAGACATAAAATGTTTGTATTGCATATATAGTTATTTTAGTATGTTCTCGAAAGAAGATCTTATTTAGAGAACTATATTTCCATGTTAATCGGCTTTACGTAAATAAGTATTTGAAGGTTGTTCGTTTGTAGAAATAAGTGACAATATGATTCATCTTTATTCATAACTAACAAAATTGAATTAGTCTATGTTAAGGAATAGAGACTGAAAAACAAACTTCTTAAAATAACAATAAATTTGATCTTATCAGAAAAAAAATATTGTTTTTAGTTCGGTTAAATGAGCTTAGATATTTTACATCTGGCAAATATTTTTCTTTTTGTTTATGATCTACTTGATAATGCTAATGATAATACATGTAAAGGCAATTAATCGTAACCTTTTTTTTTTCTTTTTATATAACATCAGTCTGCTCAAGGCATAATCAGATTAACCAAGAGAACGATGATGCTACTATACGTGATATTCATTCATGAGGAAGTTTATCTTCATTTAATTATCAATTATTATATTAAATATATTTTCTTTATTATTGGAGTCGAACAGAGATTGAAGGTCTGAGAGAGAGAAAGAAAATCTATCCGAATATGTTTTTCATAACTGTTATTGAATAGAAAGAAATTTGATTCGATGAAAAGACATATTCCATAAAAAACACTTAAATCAATCTTATAATAAGCATGAGAAGATTTTCATATCACCGTATATTTTCACCCAATCTTTCTTTTCTTTTTATAGAAAAACAAGTTTTTTTACCGACATAAAAATGTTCTTGAAAGCTAAACGAAAATTTTTGTTGAGTATAGCATAAAGTACGGGATTAATTGATGAATTTGAATATCCTAACCAAACGAAAAATTCGATTGCATTAAAACTTAAACAAAGACAAACAGCTCGTATAATATATAATGTAAAGAATGGTAACCAACAGCATATAAAACAACCAATAACAACAGCTAATGAACGTGTAACACGAGCTTCAGCTGTTATTTCTCGACGTCCTAATTGTTGTTGATCGTTATGTTGGATATCTTCATTCATTAATGAACTTTGAGAAAAATCATTTGATCGTCGTTGTTTTTTACCAAACAATTTTGAATAAGAACAACAACTTGTTGATTGATCACGATCCGATATATTTTCATTTATTCGATTATCTGTTGAATTAAAACAACAAAATTTTTTGGACGGTTCACGATAACAAGTTGAAGAATCTCTTATTTTCTCAGTTGGATCTAAATAATAAAAAGAAATAATTTACAAATAACGCTCGTCTGGAGATTCGCTCAGCTTTTTCTCGTAGAAACCGTGTGTCTTCACTACCACTAAACTATTTATTCAAACAATCGATTTCAGATTCGAGTTCCCCTCAACCTCGATTATCCTTTGATGAATTCTTAAGGTGCGGACACACAATTAGACAATTTATGTTTACTGGACTCTTTTCTACGAGAAAGAAAATATTTTTATTTACCCGATGTTGTTGTTCTATTATTTTTATTAATGAGAGCATTTGTTGTTGTCGATTTTTTATTCATTTTTAATGATTGTTGTCGGATTGCATATAATACTTTAACATATAGAAATATCATTATTATTAATGGAAAATAAAACGATAGTAATGAACTCGTAACAACAAAATTTAAATCTTTGTATAATTCACATTGACGATTAGATGATGTATATTTTGTTGGTAAAATATAAATTGTTTCATTTTTTATTTCGGAATAAATTGCAACTTTTTTTTCAAAAAATAATGTTGGTAATAAACATATTGCGATTGATACAAACCACGCAACGCATATATAACTTAACGCTAGTCGTATTGAATGTCGATGATGACGATAACGAATCGGATAATTTGTTGCGATATATCGATCGAATGCAATCATTAATAAACCCTTTTTTTATTATAAATATATATATAAATTAAAAGAGAAAAAAAAGAAAAGAATTTACCCAAATCGATGCTGTTGAACAAACGACATCAATTGCTAACCAAAATTCACAAAGATATTTTCCAAAATACCAAATACCAAATGTTGAATATGAAGCTGAAAATGGTAAAACAGCAATACCCAATAAAAGATCACTAATAGCTAAATTAATAATTAAATAATTTGACATTCCACCTTGTCGAATTTGTTTATTAATAACAAATGCAAGTATAACTAAAATATTTCCCAATATTGTCCAAATAGTTATTGTAAAAAGAATAATTCCAAGAAATATTGAAATAAACATTGGTGATGGAGATGATGATGATGATGATAATAATTGAGATGAATTTGAAAATAGATATTCAAATGGAGATGAAAAAAACATTGTATGATTTGTTGCAAACATAAATAAATCTTTGTTCTCGTAATGATCGTTGTTGGGCGGAGAAAGAATATAAGAATAACTATTATTATTGTCGTTTTTGTTATTCCAATGCAAAGAAGAAGAAGAAGAAGAAGAGCGATTAGATGGACCAGGAATAAAATTATTTTTTACAAATAGCACCATTTTAACTGTAGATGATGATAACATCTCTCCAATTATTATTGCTTCATTTAATTATTATCAATCAAGAGTTCTTTAAATAAACAAACAACGAATTTTGATTTAGTTAATAAGTAGAATTTTGTTCTTATTCTATAAAACAGAGATGTATTCCCTAAAGGCTAAATTGAAATCAATGATACTTCTATCAAGGATTGAATAAGATACCGGTACATTTCTCTTCACTTTCTTCTATGTTGGATTTATAATCACTTACCATTAATATAAAAATCTATCTTGATGATTGATGTCATCCGGAATATGTGATGACATGACAAATAAACTATTAATGTATAAATTTATGTTCGTTTTATTAATTTGTGAAGAATGAGTCTTAATCTTACTTTTCTTTTTCATTTTTCTATGTCACAATATTGTCTTTGCAACATATTTGCTTGCCTGTTTAACTATAAATAATCGGATCGACGCTAATATTACTGAGAAAAAGAGAAGGAAAGCTTTTCCGGAACCAGTAACACCATTACTATACTTTAGAAACGACAAAGAAGAATATCTTTTTCTTCTCTTCTTCTCTCTCTCTCTCTCTTTTTCTTATTTTTCTACGGTTGTTAAAGTCGAGAAAAGGATAAGTGGAAATGTATATAATAATTAATGAACTTAATAGAAAAAAAAACTAAATAACGAGTTAGTAATATATTTTATAAGTGTAATCTTTTGTTTAATTTATTAAGAAAAAAAACTAATTTAAATTTTAAACATATGAGTAAATAGATCATGTGGAAGAAATAATTAATATTTTTTCCATTATCATTCTCATAGATGATTTAATAAAAATATGTCATAGTCAACAGTTGACGATGGATAGAATTGAATAAGTTTCTTCATTTATTTTCTCTTGGGATCATTTGAACGAAACAAGAAAACTATCGAACGGGAAAAATACGAAACAAGTATAATTCGATTACTCTTATTCTAATAGAAATAAATATTGTTTCTTAATTTCTAATATATTCTTTCTATTGTAATAAATATACCCTAGAATTTTTTGTATTTAACATTCAAACTATTCTCTCATATCTACGAATCTTAATAAATTTACCAATGTAAATAAACTTACTGAGAAAAGTTGTTTGGATAAATATTCTTTAGTGTAAATTTGTAATTATAAGGTGCATTAAGTACGAAAAGAAATTCTCTTGAGTTCACACTTTAGATTATTCAGCATATGAATACAATACTAAAGAGATACGTTTGAAGACAAGATCATAGTAATACATTGCACTATATAATTAAAATCATATTGTTTTTTTTCTCTCTCTCTAGTATTTCATCTAGACACGCACGTTTAACATCTATGGAGATTTTTATATTTCCATATACTATATCAAAGGTTAATAGAAAAGCTAAAATGTTTAAAATATTGCTTTTTCTCTCGACGAACTCATTCTATTTTGAGTCTACTATTTACTCGATTAACTTTTAGTTTTATATTGTCATTAACTCAAGTACTCTCAAGTCTTTTTTGCGCTTTTCTTTTAAATACTCCTCGAATTTAAATTATGATATTTTTAGATCTAATTTCATATAGACCATATTAAAATAATGATCTTCTTTTATTTTTACAATATAAATTTACTTCGAATGTGTGTCAAAACTAAATGAGAATAGAAAATTCCATAATAAATATTGGTTTTAATTGACAATAAATTTATTCTCTATCAATTATTTGCATAAAATCATTAATATTGTATACTGATTTAATTAATTTAGAGAAAGTTAAACAAAAAGAGAGATTCGAGGGAGAAAAAGGTTCATATGACATTCGATTGTTAAAATATTATTAATTTTATCGAAATATATTAAAAGTCAGTGTCTTTATAACATTTTGATGTTGATTAAAATAAATTGGAAAGCAACGATTGCATGTTTAAATATATTTCTATTAACAAAATGTTTCCGTTAAATAACATTATTTAAAAAAAAAAGAAAAGTTCATTAAGAACATTTTCATATGAAAAAAATAAATAAAATATGTGTTCCCGTATATAATATAATAGACATCGAGATATACATTAATATCTTCCTCTTATATAAAATTCTAAACAAAATTATGAAGAAAAAAAACGATGAAATTCTAGAGATATTATTGATTAATGTTCATTCCGCTTCTAATCTGATAATAATTCATTGAGATCATCCATACAGAAATGTTTCTCCTGAGAACATTAAATCAATTTTTATTTTAATTAATAAAATATTTCCTTCTATACAAAGTTCTAAGTACTTGAGACAATCATTTTTACTATTGGAAGTTATAAAGGTGTATTTTACATACATAATAATTGTCTGTCTGGTCTTTAATTATAATAGGGTGAATCCGTGGGAATCCTACCACGTTTTGGAAAAAGTCGTTTTCTCGGAACATGTATATATGTATTACATGTTCGAGCCATCATATCAGTAGATGATTTACTAAATATTCAAACATCCTCCATATGGTTATACCATTAGATGCAGCTTTTCATGCTGCGTCTAATGAGCATGTTTGTAAACGTCTTTGATAATTTAAAAAATTCGAAAAACAGCAGTTTTTTAAAAATGAATGATTTCTCATGATATGAAATTTATAATATTTTTTGCATGTTTTTTCAATGTTTTTCCCCAAAAAACTGACTTAAATTTTTTTGAAAATATACAGTTTTGTAGAGCTCGACGAGTTCTATCAAACCATATATAAATCACGAAAAAAAAAATTTTAGTCGATTTTTGTATTTGCTACATCTTACATGTTCCAAAAAAACGACTTAGAACTTGACCATTTTATTAGAAATAATACTTATTTTTTTTTGCTAAACCACGTTATCTGCAGTGCTTTTATCTTTCTGAGAGATAAAAAGTGATAAAAATCTTTGGTTTGAATATTTAGTAGGTCATCTACTGATATGATGCTGGACCATGTAATACACATATACATGTTCCGAGAAAACGACTTAGAACTCCAAGATTTCAACAAAAAAGTTTATTTTTTTTTCGATGAATAACGTTTTCTGGATCGCATAGGACTTTCTGTCAAAAAAAAATCGAAAAAAAAACTTTTTCCAAAACCGTGGTAGGTACCCACGGATTCACCCAATAGTCATTCTTATTGAATAGGGTTCATTTATTAAAAATTATGTCAGGGCAAGAAATTACTACCTAATAACCTATTGAGTACTTCATACAATCTGGTCATTTTCGATAGAAAGTTTGTCGGTTTTTGGATCTGTCTGGCGGCAGATACCGGAAAGTACATGTCACATTGGGATTCTGCCAGACTTATATTGATAAACCGAATAATACCCTCATATTGATACGAAACTCATTAGCTTTTATTTTAAAGTGTAATAAAAATTAAATTATTTATCGTCATAAAAATGATTTGCATCATCTTTTTGAATTCATGTTAAATATATTAGATCATTATCAAAATTTTAAACGAGAAAATTTAGTCTTTCGTTTTTAAAATAAATACGAAGTATATTTTCTGTTATTGAGATAAAAATATTTGTTTTATGACAATGTAAACATAATAATAATTAATGTATTGATATATCATAAGTGACATTTACTATTCATTCGCTTTTGTTTGATTTCTATTCAATATACAAATATTGTCAAGGTAAAACAGACTCTGGTTAATTTCTCTTTTCTCATATTTTATTTTGTGTAAATATGACGCGTAGAATGATTTATTCATTCTTTTTATTTATCTGCATATTGATACGATTTGATAATACCCAAAGATAGACTGTTGACGTCTTTCTCTTTTTATATTCTTTGTAAAATAAGAATGAAGTGAACAACAGAATAAATTCATATTAAATGTATTTCGTCATATAAGTACAAATAAATATTCTCTACTCAAAAATCAGAGATCAAAATAGACACGTGACGTATTTAAGGGCAATGAGGTTGAAAATAAGTACGAAAATATGGTTGTATAAAAAGACAATAACTAACGAAGTAATATTTATCTTTGAATATAATTTTTCTACTGATATCGTCCAGAATGGTTTGTATTAAAAATGTGCAATTTATGCTATTAATATCATGTATTATGATATTATTTGTGAATTCGTCTCCTACTTCCATGGGAAATTCGAACGAATATTGCGAAGGTAATATCTTAATAATGAATATTTAATTTTTTTAAATTTACTTTACAATAGAACAAAGTTGCGACGGTATATGTAAAGTGGACTATGCTTGTTATACATTTTGTAAAGGACAAACAATAATAGATACTCAAAACTTACCATATCCACTCAACAGCACCTTGATAAGCAAACTGATTAATAAAACTGGTCTTTGTCATGGTTTTTGTAAATTTGGAACATGTTACTGCTTTCTTACATCGGATGAAATTACTACACTTCTTTCCAACACTGGAGCCGATGGCGTTGATCCAACAGATACAGTTGTTTCTACAGGTACGAAGATAAATGGTAAAAATATCAGTCCAACTACTATCATCTGTGGAAATCCTACGATGAGCAACTAAACTACTCATCAAATAAAATATTTTAATGAACAACAGTATTTTTATTCTTGTATATGTTTTTGTTCTAATATAATTTTGATTTTCAATAAATTTTTATTTTTCCTAAACAATTGTCACTACTTGTGTATCATATATAAGCTTCGGATCAAGATAAACAGTATACTAGTAAAAGTATTATTTTAAGAATTTATTAAACTTTCTTATATTCTTTTCACCTAAATTTTCTCTGAAAAATGAGAAGTTTGCTAAGAATATTTAGACTTAAAGTAAAAACTGATCTAAGATCTAGATAGAAGCACATAAGTCAAAAGATAATTTTTAAAACTTGACTGAACAAATTTTAAAGTATAGTAAAAATTTTTGTAATATCTTATTCAGGATTAGAATGCAGTTAAAACAAATAAAAAAAACTCTTAACTATATCCATATATAATACTAACATCAGCATTTTCTGAAATTATCATAAATATAAGATTATCAGAATTATAAATTTTTTCTCTTGTACTAATTCGTTATTCTAATTCTTATACGATCAACGATCTGAATAAAATCAGACACAAATATTAAAAATTTTTCATTATTTGTGAAAAAATGATTTGAATGACTTTAAATTAATATTCTTGTCTGATATTATATATAATAAAGAAGGATAAATATAATTTAATCGTGTCTCTCATACTAACATGTAGTGAAAAAAAACATAAATAAACTGTGAAGCACAACAGAATGTTTTATATGAAATTTCGTTTATCTTCAATATCAGCAAAAACAAAATTGAAAAAA